CGACTGAATGTAGTCGGTAGCAGTGTTGTCAGCGCGCCATTGCTGCCCAATTGTCCCAACCATCCTGGATTGCAGGCTCACGGACCGGAGGCTTACAACCAGATCTACCCCATGATGGCGCCGACAGCAGGGGGGCCAATAAGCGGCGGCGGCGCTGCTGTATCGGGTGCATCGGCTGTTGCACCGGTGACGCCGTCGCAGCCTGTGCCTGGCACCAGCATCGGTGGAGCACCGCAGCAGCAGCAGCAGCCTAATACGATGGTGGTGCCAATGGCATCGCCGCCGCCGCCGTCGCCACGGGCGGCCACCGCCAGCAGCCGTGGCCTTCAGCCGACCCCGTTTGCCAACGCCATTATGGACAGCAACTACGATCTGATGGCGCTGCCACGCGGCGGCGGCTCCGCCGCATCGGCTTCCGCTGCCGCTGCCAACGGGAGCATTGGGCTGGCGGAGCCAACCCACGGTCCGCTGCCTAACGGTCCACTGCCTAACGGCATCGCTGCTACTACCAACGGCGTTTCCGCCGGTGGTGCTAACGGCCTGTTAAACGGGGGCGCCAACGGTATCGGCAACGGCCAACTGCTGCGAAGTGAGGATTCTGGAGGAAACCTGTCAGCTGCTTCGTCGCTGGCGGGGCCTAATGTCGCCGCTGGGCTGCGGCCGCCGCAGCGGAGGACGCAGGCAGGCACATTTGGGAGGCGGCGGCGGGCTGATGGGGACGGGGTTTATATGAACTGCGACTCGGGGATGAGGAGGTCACTGTCCAGAGCTTTTGGCTGTTCGGCAGTGTGTTCTGTCTTATTCGCACAAACAGAGGGGAAACGCTTCGATTCGTGACAGGAACGTGGTCGCTAGTCGGGGGTTGTTGGCCTAGGGCAGAACTGCCTTGCGATGTCGAAACGTTTTTACCCCTCGCTTCTCTTCCCTGCGTGTTAATTAGGTAGTTACAAGTACAATACCTTGCCGTCTGTTGTGTGCGCCGCAGGACCTGCACCCGTCGGCTTACGGAATAAATGGCATGCAAGCGCTGCAGCAACCGCCACCGTCGCCAACCCCAGCACAACAACAACAGCAGCAGCAACCGCCACCATCACCAACCCCAGCACAACAACAACAGCAACAGCAACCGCCACCATCACCAACCCCAGCACAACAACAACAACAACAACAACAACAACAACAACAACAACAACAACAACAACAACAACAACAACAACAACAACAACAACAACAACAACAACAACAACAACAACAACAACAACAACAACAACAACAACAACAACAACAACAACAACAACAACAACAACAACAACAACAGCAGCAGCAGCAGCAGCAGGCGACGGGGCTGGCAAGGGTTTCCACCCCGGGTAACGCCACCCCACCCCGCAACCTGGTGAGATGTTGCCTTGAAGGTCGTCAGGGCGTCCACCACCACCATTGTGTTAGAACGACAGCTGGAGGATGTCTTACGGAGAATCAGCTAGCGGGAAAGGAAGGATGTCGCCCAATGGGATGTGCCGCTGGTGAATACTATCACCGAACTTCTCCATGCCTTGGCGTCATTTTTGGAGTCGTCTCGTCACCTCGCCGCTTGTCATGTTCCCCTTCCCATTTTGCTCTGCTGCCGGTGACGTTGTGGCGCTGCGGCCGTTTTGCCATTGTCGCTAGGTACCGGAAACGCTCACGACGAAGACGGAGCGCTTCGTGTACAAAGTCTTGACGGGGGATGCGGCGGGAGGAGAGGACGCGCCCGGCAACAAGCTTCCGACGGTGGGGCCTATCGGCTACAACGCGGGTGAAGCGGAGGCGCTAGACGCCGCCCAGGCGGACATCGCCAGTATGACGCCCAGGCATGCCGGCGTCGCTGTCGGCATCGACGCAATTTTGGCGTCGCCGGGGCCTGACCCACCTCAGCACCCGTTGCCCGTTCATCAGCATTACCCTGGGCCGCATTCTCCGGTGCCAACTTGGGCTCGGTCGCAAGGCGTGTCTACGCTGCCGATGGAGGTCATGAGAGCGGCGAACGACACGTACGGCGCGCCGCCGAGCCCCGCGTATCCGTACCCCATCATGGGCCCAATAGGTACGGAAGCAATGCCCGAGCCGCCGGTGCAAACCTCCCACGCGGCGGCGGCGGGGGCGATGGGGCTAGCGGCCGTTGTGCACGGCGGGGCCGTGGGCGGCGTGGGAGTTCCGTTGCCGCAGTCCGTACCTTTTGCAATGGATCCCCGGTTGCTGCGGCCGCCGAGCTTCCACAGCCCCCAGCCGAACGTGGCGCCCCTGTACGGTGGTGCTGCGTCGCCAATGGTGTACGGCAGGACGAGCGAGTACGGCGTCGGGCAGCACGTGCCTGGGCCGTCACCCATGACCGGGCGGCGGCCATCAAACCTTTCAGAGCTTGACCTGGTGTCTGGCCGTGTGTCCCCGTTCCGGACCCAAGACTCCGGTGAGTAGGAGTGAGAGTGAGAGCGCGCGGGGAAACGTATCCTAATATGTAATCAGCAGCGTAGGATCCCCCGGTCCCCCGGTCTCCTTTCAGCGCCTTTCAGCGCCTTGTCTACCCGCTTAGACCCATCTCTTGTTGTGCGGGTTTACCTTGACCTTTTCAGGCATCATCCTGTAGGCCGGCGGTGTTGAGAGGTGTTTTGCTCCCTCCGGCCGGGCCGCTGTCTTGCAACTTGGTTGGGATGCAAAAACGTTATCATGCACAGACAAGTGAATGGAAGTTGTTAGATTTGTACCCCGCCCGGGTCGGTTTTGGGTCAGCGAGTCGCACACGCCGTCACATTCTGACACACGCACTTACACACACACACATACACTCTGCCTTATATACTCCCCCCCCCACACACACACACGCAGGTGAGGTGGGGCTGCCGCCGCCCCCCGTCATCCGCCCTCCTCCCGTGGTTGCTCCGGCGGCAACGCAGTCTCAGGACCCTCAGCTGTTGCAGGTGGGAGTGGGACTGAGGGTGGGAGTGGGATTGCGGCGTCGCTCCTTGTACCACTCCCGCAATGCGCCGCTTCACAACAACACGACACTACACTCAACACTACACTCACACTACCATGCCATACTACACACATACTACACTCACTCTACGCTCACACTACACGCACACTACACAATGCCGCGCTACCCCTCCAGAATTGCTTCATCCGGCCGGAGGACCTGTGCAATGTGGAGCAGATTGGCGAGGGCGCGGAGGGCATTGTATACAAGGGCCGTTGGCACCACATCTACGTCGCGGTCAAGGAGATGCACCCCTCCTCGGCATCGTTCGGAACCCTGCAGTCCATTGCACAGGTGGTGGTGTGGTGGTGTGGTGTGGTGCTGTGTGGTGGGGTGCTGTGTGGTGCTGTGAGCGCGGTGGGGATGGAACGATGGGGACTGTCCTGCATGATGCGGCGGCGTTGTTTTTTTGTTATTTTACTTGTTGAAAAAGGGGGCCATGGAGCTGTCATCGACTGGTGGGAGTGAGAGCGCGAACATGAGCGAAGTAGTCGAGGATAGCCGTGGGCCCGACCAAGACCCGACATTCGAATTCGACAAAGGAAGGTGAAGATATGTCTCTCAGACCAGATATATCCCAGCGAGCACGGATTAAGAGCTGAGCTCATTTTCTTTTATTCTTTTTCTTTTTTCGGTTTAGAGGCGTTACCTTCCCAATAAACAAATAAAAATAAGTGAGCCCTAGGGCATATCCTTGTGTCGCGCCCTGCTCCCTACCAGGACCTGTCTCGCTCCGGCACCGACCCCGCCTCCGCCAACACAGAACTTGCGGGGCTCATCAAGGAGGTGGCCGCGCTCATTGACCTGGGCCAGCACCCCAACATCATCCGCTTCATCGGAATCTGCACCTCGCCGCCACGAATTGTTACCGAGTACTACAAGTAAGAGCTACGTGTCATACCTGCCATGTGTCATACATGCGCCTATCATACGTGCTTGCGTGTTTGTTTTTCGGCGTGCACATGTATATATGTGTGCGTTTGCATGTGGGTGTAGGTATGTAGGTATGTGCGTGGCGGCTAACGTTGTGAGACCCACATACGCATGTCCTTGCGTTTTTTTTAATGTATATCCACTAGCGCCGCGCGGCTCGGGCCCGGTGTACATACATTCCATACATTCCCACCCGCCGCTCCGTGACCTCCCTCCTCCCCCTCTCGCCCCCCCGCCTCCCGGCTCCTAGCATGCGTCTCTGTGTCGTCATGTGACCTCTTCTCCTCGTACCTCCTGTTTTCTGCGTTCGTTCGGGTCGCAGCCGGAAGGCGCGTGCCTTACCCTTGTTACCTGCACCCCATGTTTGTTGGGTTACTGGTTGGGGCCGGCCTTGCCTCCTCTCCTATGGGGGGCGACATTCACCTCCTCCGCTCACCCACGTCACGTACATCTTTCACACACCTCACGTACACACATACACATTCTCACCTTGTACACACCTTACCCGCGCTTTACCCGCATTTTACCCGCCGGTGTCCCTTCCCTCTCCTGTCGCGACAGGATGGGCTCGCTGTACACGATGCTGAAGATGGCTCGCCAGGGCAATATCCGCACACGGGAGAAGCTGGCCTGGGACAAACGGCTCATAATGCTGAAGGTGTGGGAGGACATACAGACTGACATGCGTACATACGTAGCCATACGTACATGCGCGCATATGTGTGTGTTTGCCACACCACCTGGAGCTGCGATACCCAACCTTCAAGGGGGGTGCAACGGGGGAGCCCGTACGTTCGAGCCGCCCTGCGGAAGGGAGCCCAAGGGGGCCGACAGACGGACAGACAGACAAAGGGGGCCTGACCGAAGAATCATCAGTCAGCTGACGCTCGTGCGTCATGTCTGTCTGTCTATGTGTTTACATGTTTTGGGTACGTGGATGTGGGTGCTCGCATCTGGTTGTGTGCATGTGCATGTGCGTGTGCGTGTGCGTGTACTTGTGTCTTCTCCTTACCCGCCTCACCCGACTGGCTCGTCTTTCCCCCCTGGCTCAACTTTTGCACAGGACATCGCCGCGGGCATGGCCTACCTGCACAGCCGCGACTACATCCACGGTGACCTGCGGTCCCCCAACGTGTTCGTGACGGAGGACGGCCACCTCAAGATCGGCGATTTCGGCTTCGCACGCATCCTGGGCAAGGCTCAGAACCAAGTGGTGCGGGCCAGGCTCACCAACCCACGCTGGCAGGCGCCCGAGGTGAGGGATTGCGCATCCGGAGTGTTGGAAGCGCCCGAGGGATCGTGGTTTAATGTCGCGTCATCTGGGGGTCTGCAAGGACAAATGGGTACCAATTGCTGGAAGGATTTTACGGGGATAGGATTGTGTGCGTGTGCGTGTGCGTGGGGTGGCACACCTGGGGTTGTGGTGTTTACGTCCCGCGTGCGTTTCCCATCGACACTTTCCCCCGGCGCCCGGCTCCTTCCCGTCCTTCCCCCCCCTCCGTTCGTGGTTCGTCTTTTCCCCCCACCCCCTCCCTCCCCAACCTGGACCGGACCTGGTTCTACTGCACGGCACTCCGACTCCGTCCCTGGAAACAGGTGTACGACATGGTGGATCCCATCGCCACCACGGCCGCTGACGTGTACAGCTTCGGCATCATTATGTACGAGATGCTGACGTTTCGGCTGCCGTACGACGACACGACGGATGATGAGGTGGTCAAGTTACGCCATACGTTTGCTCCGGAGTGGCGGCCCGATGTGCTCCCGGACAACCAGCTGCCCGTGCAGAAGAGCATGCACCTGGAGGTGAGAGGGGGGGTGAGCTGAGGGAAGAATTGTATATGTAGTAGCAAAAGTAAAAAGAAACAAAAGCAACTGGGCTGACGTCCAAAGTTTCTGTATTCTCAAGAGCTATAAATGGGCAGGGGTGCATGTGTCTGGCTGCCGGCTACCTGGCGCTTAAAGGATGAGCAGCAGGTACGGGTGGGAAAAGCGCTATTCCAGCCACCAGACGGCCTTCCGAGAGCTTCTCCACCTTCTCACCTCCTCTCCCCCTCTTTTGGGCCCTCTCTTAGTCCGCGACCCAAACCAAATCGCCCTTTGTTCGCCTCTTTCCCCTGATCTCCCTGCTGCCCGGTGTGCGGTGTGCGGTGCGCCGCCTGCAGGGTCACCTGCCGCCGCTTCAGGCATACAAGACCTTGATGATGGACTGCTGGGCGGTCGACCCCGCGGACAGGTAAGGGGTAAGGGTGGGTGAGAGGTGGGTAGGGTGGGTGTGCAGCCTTGCTCTGATGGGGAGCCCCAACTTGGGCGGGAGCCGTGGGGGACCGGGGATGTGAGGGGCTGTGCCTTGCCTTGCCTGCTGCGCGTGCCGCCCCTTCTGCCCCTCTTGGGCCCCCTAGGACCCTCCCTGCTTTCCATCAGGTTGGCGCTGCTACTCGCGGTTGGGTGGTCTTGGCCCAGCACTGCAATGCCTCGCCCGCGTAACGGCTCCTGACTTTGCATGCTTTGCACGCCCGTAGCTGGCCCGTTTTGCTTCTTGGTTCTTGCATCACACGACACCTCACCCCCTTCCCCCGTCCACCTTTTATGCTCCGCCCTCCCCGCCCCGCCCCGGCCCTCCCTTGCATTGCCTTGACCAGGCCGGGCTTCCACAAGATCGCTGGCCGCCTGAACGCACTGTACCACTGGTGGTGGGCGTTGAGCGTGGTACGTCCGTCGTACGAGCGGGCGGCCGATCCTTCCTGTTGGGGGCCCCGAGAGGAAGGGAGGGGGATTACTGCGGGAGATGGCAGTTAGCTGCTAAGAGGTCGACAAAGTCACCAGGCCTGGTGTGGATAGCCGGTCATTCGTGTTTGGAGCATGATTGGGTCATGTGTTGCTGCTTTTACTTAACGCATCCTCTGCCCTCTGCCCTGCACTCTCACCCCGGCCCTTCCCGTTCGTATATCACCACTGTTGCAGATCGTTCGCAGCCGGCAGCTCGGCGCCCGGCGCCGCGGCGGCGCCGGCAGCAGCGGTGTGGGCGCCTCAGCTGAGGTTACCCCCACCTGCATGACTCCCACCTCGGTGTCCTCTCCAACGACATCCGTGGGAAGGCCACCCATCGGCCCGCAGGTCCTGAACCAAATACTGGACCATGTGGCATCCACCCTGCAGCATGACCCGTCCATGGAGCACCAGCTGTTGGAGGCTCCGAGGCCCCGGAGGGAAGATCACGGCCTCGTCGCAGCGTCGTCATCGCCGGCAGCTCCAGCGGCGCCGCAGGCGACGCCGCCGCCGCTGCCGCTGCTGCCGCCGCTACCGCCGCTGCCAGGCGGCTCAGCAACGGCGGCAGCTCTGCCGCCGCCGCAGGTGCAGGTGCCGGTGCCGCAGGCGACGCAACGGCGGTCGCTGGCGGCGGAAGAGCCCCAGGTGCCACACGGTACCAATGCGCGTATGCAGCACCAGCCATCGCCGTCGCTGCCGTCGTCGCAGCTGAAGGTCCCTCAGTCCCAGCGGACCCAACCGCGGCAGCAGTTGCAGTGGTCCAACAGTCCCGCCACGCCGAACACTCACCCGGACAGCCGGGTGAGAAGCCCAGCAGCAGCAGCACCACCCAAGGGCCTCAAATCACCCCCGCGTGCAGGTGCACCGTCAGCGTTCCAGGAGCAAGACCTACAGCCCGCCCCCACGATAGCGTCCACGGCGTCCAGGCCACTGCAAGTGTCGGCTGCAAGCAGCGTGGCTGTGTCAGTGCCATCAAGCGGCCCATCGGCTGGTGCGGCACCGCTGCAGCTGACGCCTGAGCTCGTGATGCGAGCCGGCGGCACCCACGCGCTTTTGAGCCCGTTCGAGTCAATGCGTATGCTGCATGATGACGATGATGATGACGACGACGACGACGATGACGAGCCAGCCAGCAAGGTGCCGGTTCCGGGAGCTCCGCGCAGTCCGGTGACGCTGATGGCGGCGCCGACGCCAGCTGTCGCAAATCGCGGAGCTGCAACGACGGTGGAGTCTTCGTCAGCTGCTGCGACGGCAGGGCGGCTGCGGATGGGATCGGCGACGGCGACGGCGAAGGCGACGGCGCCTGGCGTAGCAGCCCAGCAAACCGTGGCGGTGATCCCGCCGCCGCTGCCGCCACCACCGGCACCTGTGTGTCCGGAGCCAGGCCTCGACAGCTTGGCGTCTGTGGTGCTTCCGGTGCCGCCACTTCCTGGATTGCGCCGGTCGCCTTTGTCGCATCCGGTGATGGAGCCGGCGTCGCCGCGCGCGCAGGGGCTGGCGGTACCGCGGGTGGAGCCGACGCCGACGCCAAGCCCGGGTGCCATGCTGCCGAAGACGGCTTCCTTCCAACCCAAGGACCCTGTTGACCCGCTTGACATGCGGACGGCGTTCCATATGGGCATTGGATTCTCCATTGATGACGATGATGACGACAATTAGTTATGTGGTGTGGTTGTGGTGTGGCGGTTGTGCCAGGACCCGCACTAAAAGTGTGGGGGAGGTGACGGGAGGATACGCCCTGGGCTTGCTGAGCAAAAGGCGGTTGAGCAAAACATTATAAGTAGCAAGGGATGTGGTTGTAGCTGTAGCTGCGGCTGTGGAACCAGGGAAGCGGCTCGCGGGCCCCTGCAATTGTGCACTGCAGCAGGACAGCAGCACCGCCAGCGGTACCGCCCACTGCCACTAACACCAGCGCCAGCACCAGCGCGGCGGGTGAAGTCACGGTGGTGGCAGAGAGGAAGGCAAAGAGGAGGAGCCCCTTTATGCTCGTTGGGAGCATATGTTTTTATTACGTAGGAGAATAATCGTGTGGAAAAAGATTTCGTTTTTGGAGGGCTGTCTGCCAACTGGCCAAAGCAACGAGTTGCAGTGCGGTAACGCCGTTGCTGTTGGCAAGCTTAGTCGTCATATAAATACCTTATGGGAGCATTTTCCAAAAAACCGGATAAAGAAGAGTTATGTTCGGGATGCCTACGCGGTGAAGCAGGACGGCGGGGGCTGGTAGCGTGTGGCAGTATCAAGAGGGAGTGCGATTTCGGGAAGGAAAAGATCGGCGGGGCTTCTCGACGTGAGCTGTGATCACAACACGGTGCTTAGCAACGCATGGGCGCAGGGGTCCCATGCATGGACGCAGGCCCGGATCACCTCGGTTTTTCCCCCCCCCCCGTATTCATACGGTATGTGCCAGGTGACGCCCTTCGCGCGCTGCGGCTGCGCGGACGGCGGCCGTGCAAGACGGCGGCGGTGGAGAAGATTAAGGCGCAAAGAGGTTTTTAGGTATCCGCTCCACGGCAGGCGAGCTAGTAGGAAGCATGCATCTTGGAAGTGCTACCTTCATACCTTCTTTTATTTTCAAAACTTGGGTTTTGGGTTTTCCTTTTTCGCCTTCTTGAGAACGATTCCATTGCCATCGGCTGGTTTCACGGGTCGAAAGGTGTATAGTTGTATAGCTGTGTGTTGCGACAACCGCATGACGAGTGGCCGGACGATGAGTAGGTGCGTGGTACGGTGGTAAATATGCGGTCACGTGCGCGCGCGTGCGGGCTGGAGGGGCTGAGTGGCAGGCGGGATAAGAGCAGGTGGCAGCAAGTGGGGGGCAGATGGCAGAAGCGGGTCCTGCGTACGGCCCTGTTTAGTTAGGCAAGACCTGTTTTTATAAGATTTTCGATAGCAGCACTCGCGTTCGTGCGACGGTTGCGTTGCGTACGTTGGAAAGCGGAAGGAAAGAGTGATATATGTATCGGTGGAGGGGTGCCCGGTGGGGGGGAATTGCTGAATCTGTGCTGGTGTGTACAGCGGGACGAGGACTAACGGTTGCATCGGCGGTGCCACGGCACGTTCGTGCCGCGGACGTTAATGCTCTCGAGTAGCTGTCGACTGGTATGGCATTCCCATGTGCTGCGTATCATTTTGACATGTGTGGCGCTAAAGGAGCAGGAACGTGGTGCAGTGTTAAGAAACGTTTAAACGCGAAGAGGGACGGGGCGCCTGTCACCCTCTTCGCGGTAATACGTTTTTTCCGCACGCAGGAGGTCAACGATGCCGAGGCTCGCCTTGCACACCCCCAGGTGCTCAGGGCTAAGGTTCGGAGGGCTAAGCCTTGGCATGGTTGCAAAGGGATGGTGGCCGCCATTGGGGGCCATGGACGCATGCTTAAAACCGGAGCCCCAATGTCACCCTCTTACCTCAAAAGGGGAAGCGGGCAGAGGCCGGGTTCAAGGTCCTGGAAAACGGCCAAGTACGGGCGCAGTACGAGCCGTTCGCACGCGGTGACTCACGTTGCTTGTTGCTTGCTGTTTTGCGGTGTTTGGAATCGTTTCGATTGTTGTTGCGTTTGGTAGCTGCCTTGCAGTGCTGCTGTGGCCAAATAAAGTTCGCTGTGCACTACTGGGTTCGCAGTATTCCCGCATTGAAAAGGACGGCCGGTAATGGAAGGGATGCGTTTTCCGTTGGTTTTTATTGTTCCGATATCGTGGGGGTTGGGTTGGCGTTCGACCGGATTGGAGACGGCGCGGGGCGAAACATGGCACTTGCAGCCTGGAGGTCTTTGGGGAGGTTGTGAGGTACAGCTGCGGTGGCGGCGGCGGCGCCGCCGCCGCCATGCCTTTTATTCCCATTACAGCAAGCGCTCACAGCTCTGCTGTTGCCTTCTCCTCCTCGCCGACCATGCGCGTGCGAATACGTAGAAA